GGTACTTTGTATGTATGTGTTCGGTTTTTTTTTTCGGGGTTTTCCCCCTCTTCTCCTCCCCCTTTTATTTCGCCTTGCACTTAATTCCATTTTCACTTTCTTTAATGATGCTCAATTTTTTGCATCATTAATCTTAAGCGATTTTCAGCTTTGCCGCTGACTGACACGGCGTCTCAACGGGGTTTTCCTCTTAACAGCATTTTCCTACCATTTTTCCCGCCATTTCCCCGCCTCCTGACCCCGTCGTCCCTTTGCACTGGCTGCCTCAGCTGCTGGCCCTAATAAGCGAGCTACAAATTTTGTAATTACAATTTCATCTTAATTGGCCTGTGTGCGCGGGCGTTCATAAATATCATGAAAAACCATCAAGTTTAGCGGTCTTTATTTTGTTTGCCAAACTTGACTAAACTTTTTAGCTTATAGTTATGGTATTTGTAAATATTATTTTAAGATATTACTGGAGTTAAGGGCTCTTAATTGATTTTTGCAAAACTTTACGGCAACTTTGAACTATTTTAAATGCATTAATCAAGGGCAGGAAATTGAGCTACGAATTTGTGAATGCCTTGAAGTTCATTTATCAAAGTTTATCTGAGTTTTTATATTTTAGTTTTAAGAAATTTGCTTTGACAGCTACTTATATAATTGTGTTTGATTGATTGATTATTTTTGTTAAAGAAAACCTATAGAATTTTACCTTAAATCAATATGGAGTATGAATTGTAAGAGATAATAATAATTTAAAAATAATTTTAATTTAATAAAATTAATTTAATAATAAAAATTTTAATAAATTTTAAAGAATTTATAATTTGCAATGGTTTTAAAAACAAATTATTATAATCGAAATTTTTTCTATATTATTAAATGCTTATTTTTTGGACGAAAACAATGTTTTAAAAATTCAAAAAAATCGAAATTTTAATTAACTTTACTTTAAAACCGGAAATTAATGGATTTTTATATAAAAAAAATCTACATTTTTGTGAATATTTTAAAATTTAAAAATAGAAAAAGTATCAAAAAATGTTGTCTACCAAACAAGGCTAGATCGACGCGGCTGCTGATGCTGGATCAAAAATATATATGTTTTATAGGGTCGGAAATGACTCCTTCAAGCCTCTAACGACAATCATAATACCCTAAGAAAGGGTATAAAAATAGGAATATTTTTTTAAGCATTCAACCATTTAAAAAAAAAATACGTTAAAAATTTAAATAACCAAAAACCTAAAAAAAATAAAATCCGGGCATATCTTTTTTTTAACAAAAAACCCATTTAAAAAATCCATAAACCCCTTTTTTCTCTGAGCCTCTTTCCATCCAAAAAACATGACCAAAATCAATCGTTTTATTGAATTTAATGACTGTTGGTACTCGGACTTTTGTGTCAACTCATTCTTTTCTCTCAGCTATGTGAAAAATGAATTCTAGGCTGATTGATGAACCCATCGATTATTAAACGCCGCACTTTGAACTCCACCGCCACCGCCACCGCCGCCTCTGCCTCAGCCTCAGCCTCAGCCTCTCCGTGCGATTTTGATGCGGCGTCGGCGGTCATGGCTCGGTGGAGTCTCGATTGGCAGTCCAAATTGATTTGATTGCCCCCCGCCTCTTCTCAGTTTACTATTTGGTCACACTGTGTACTCAGAGTTCGGGACTTGCCCCTCTGGTTGATGCTGCTGCTGTGTTTTATTCCATACAAAATATTTCCACTTTGGCTCGACCCGTTTTTCTTTTTAACAACTTTTTGTTGCCGCCGCCGCTGCTGCTGCTGCTGCTGCTACTGCTGCTGTTTTTATTTGAAGTTTGCAATAAAATAAAAGCCACACAAGGCCCCAGACAGGGGGATTAGAGTGCGGCAATGGTCAGGACGAGTAGCGAAGTCCAGGGAACCGAAGAGGAGCTTGGTGTAGCTTGGCCCCGGAATGGCTACCACGGCCCTCGGCCACAGACACGGAACGCGCAACTATAAAGCAAAAAACCTCATTCATATAATTTATGTGTCGCTCCGCGGGGATGGTGGCGTGACACGAAATCTGGATCCTTAAATCTATGAGGATTCAGCGATGGCAGCAAAAGTATACAATGAAAAATTAACCCGTTTAAAACGCACTTTAAAATATAATCTAAAAACAATCGAAAACCCTTAAAAAATACTAAGACGCCGATCAAAAACTTGCTACACTACAAAAATCGCCTTTAAAAACAACCGAAACCTGCTTAGAAGACGTCCCAGAAATCAGAAAATTTAACAACAAAAATTTCTCAAAAATTTCCCAAAAATGTCCCACAAATTTCCCCTAAACAAAAATAGTAACCGATTATTGTTGTTCAACAAAAAATCTTAATATTATGACAATAACTTCTCTTATACTTTCCCAAAAAATGCTTGCAATAAATTCTCTTAAAGTTTTGTTTATAACAATTCCTTTGGTATTTTATGAAATATATGTATATATATTTCCCACGAAAAATCCCATCACCAGAGAGCATTCGCTCGTGCCTTTGCCTTCTGCTGGTTGCATTTTATTTTACCATTTCGTTTCGTTTCACGCTTAAATTTATGAATTTCGACTAGCCGCTGGCACCGCTGCTGGCCACCACCCCTCTGGCGATCCTGGCCCCCCCTGGCCACCGCCACCGATCCCGCCCAGAATTTCGCTGCCCCGCCTTACCCATGTGGGCGCCGCATCCATTGTTGGCCCCGCACATATGCGGTTTTATATATTGACACTTAAAATTTATGGGACTTAAAAATCTACAAAACGCTGCCACGTTTTGTCCTGCAAAAGTTGGTTTAGGAGCTCCACCCTCCTCGCTCGCTCTGATGTTTCAGGATGGGATTTTGGGTGGGTGCTTTGGGAACTTGGTGGTTTTTGGGCCCCTGACAAAAGCTCGACACGCCTTTTGTCGAGAGAAAAAAAAAACGAAAATCCAGGAGAAGCATCAGGAAGGACGAACGAAGGCTGTGTGAAAAGTCAGTGACAGGAGTGCGGACGGAAAGTGCAAAAACTAAGCAGCAAATCGTGTGTGAAATTAACAGGCTTGCCACGACCAGGGTTGTCACCCTGCTCCTCTTAGCAGAAGTGGATGGACTGACACAAACCATTAAAAATGAGTGTGTGTGTGTGTGTGGGGAACATGTTAGAACAAATATTTTTTTATTTTTTGGCTTTGGTTAGGGTTACTGCAATTTGTAAATAGGGTTGCCAGGCCAACATAATTATTGTTTTTTTTTTTTAATTTTATGCATTTTAAAAGGATTGCCTTCTCATTTTCTTAAGAACTTTGTGTAAACCTAATCAAAAATTTTCAAAACTAAAATATATTATAGGCATTTTACCCTTAAAAGGCTTGCCAATTTGTTTGAAAAACTACTGCTGAGTTTATTATTTTTTTATATTAAAATTATCAACGGCTTAAAATAAATCCAGAAACCTGCTAATTAATAAAAGTTTTTATATAAAAAACATTTGACGAAGGTTGCCAGCTTATCTAGACTATCTTTCTTTCACACAGAAAACAGCCCTGCCCAAGGAAAACTTTTCTTTTTTTTTCTCCCAAAGGGAAAATTTCATTTATTTTCCTTAGCTTTTCTTTTACTTTTTCTTTACTTTTTTCTTCCTTTTCGGGCCCTTTGCTAATTAAATATAACTTAAAGTCTATCAAAAGCAAATTAATCATTTAACAGCCGCAAATTGCCAGGAACTGCGGTTGCCTCGAGAGCGCACTAAAGTAAAGCCAAGCCCCAGCCAAGCCAAAAAGCCGTAGCAGGCACTTTCTATTTCATTTTCATTGCTGATTTCATTCAGTTAATCAGCTTATTGAACTTGAGGTTCACTGGCTGTGGGCCAATCCCAGCATCGGGCCACAAAAGCCGGCCTGGGCTGCTACTGCTACTGGAAAAACGAAAAGTTGGCAATTGGGGATTTGGTTTTTAAGCAGTTGCAGCTGCTGCTGCTGCTGTTCCTCCTCCGAGAACTGCCAACTGGGAGATAGGAACTGGGAACTGGAAACTGTGTGAGCTCAACAAAATCAAATTCAATTTGCCAGCCCAGAGTCAGATGTGCAGAGCACCAGCAGCAGCAGTAGCAGGAGCAGCAGCTGTGGCAACTCTGGCAGCTCCAAAAGTTCAATTAATTACACAATGAGCTGGGTTTATTTTTCGGGATAAAGCACCAGGCCAGAGATTCACACAGAACCAAAAATAATATCATATCAAGATCAATAAAATAAAATTAAACAAAAAAAAAAACAAATCGAAAAGAGGCCCCAAAATATATATATATTATTTTAGAACGAGAAAGTAAATGAATTCTTCAATATTTTGGGAAGCAAAAAATGAATTTATGCTTTACAGCATTTTGTCTGAAAAAATGTATATTTATATATTTTTAAAATATCTAGAAACAGATCAAAAGGATATAGTTTTAAATCGATAGGTTTTTAATATCGATTTACTATTTATTTTTGTTATAAAAGAGTATCAAAAACCAAACCACTTGATTGGTTTCTAAATTTTTAAAAATATATTAATATTCATTTAATTTTTGCCATTTTTAAACTGTTAATTTTAACCTTTAGAGAAAATTAACTTAACTAATAATATTTATTAATCGATTACCTAACAATTTTGTTTCCATTTTAAAAGTTGAACAACTTTGTTTTATACAAAGAGAAATGTTCAAATTAAAGAAACCTAAAAGATATAAATCTTCATGAATAAAACAAAGTTTGCCATCCTTTTGAATGTAATAATCGTTAGATTACCGATAAACAAAGCTCATTAGTTTATCGATAAGCATTAACATTTTCCAGTTGTATTTTAAGCTTTAAGGTAGAGGAACTTTTTCTTATTTTTAAGCCCCAATTTCTATATAGAAAGATTCCTCATAATGCAAGTATTTCAACTAAATGGCTTCTATTAAGTGGTTTTTCGCAGTGTAGCCATAATAATTGTTATAAATTGTGATTGCTTGTCGGTGATTATCGCTCACCTGAGTTGGCTGAGTGGACAGCAGGTCGATTTGCTCCTCATGTTGCTGCTGCTGCTGTAGCTGGACCAATGCTGCTGTGGGTGTCAATTGCTGCTGCTGCTGCTGTTGCTGTTGCTGGAACTGCTGCTGATAGTGCTGCTGCTGCTGGTATTCATATTGCTGCTGCATTTGATATTGCAATTGCTGGTACTTCAAGTGTTGTTGCTGCTGCTGCTGTTGCTGTTGGCCATTCACCAGCAGACAACAGCAGGAGAGAGCGATTGCCAGAAGTTGCAGCGTATTGGCAACACTGCGTCCTGTTTTATTTATTGTTGGCGACGGCATCTTGCCAGTATATATGTATATATTTATTTATATAGCGAGAGAGTTGGGTAGAGGATATATATCCGTTTCCGCTTCACTTTATTCTATGGCAACACTTTGGTTGCGTCCTTCCTTTGCTTTTTCGCTATTTTTCCTTCAACCAGTTGCAAGTTTTGGGGGGCTGCCACTGCAAGAAAAACATGAAGGAAAAGTGCAAATAAATTCCAACTTGTTCTCAAGTGTCTGACATAAGTATATGTATGTATGTCTGTGTGTGGGTTGGGGGAAAAATGGCAAATAGTTTGTTTAGTGCTTGCCATTCGATATGTTATCCCATCTGGGAGAGAGGCGTCTTTTAAAGTGATTTTCAATGAATTGAACTTGATTAAATTCGAGTATTTAGTGGCTTTTGATTAAGTAATTTGAGTGGAGGGATTTTTAAGATAGTTAATTAAAGCTTTCTAGTTATTTTTTAATACTATATTATTTTTAATAATAATATATAGGTTTAATAATAGTTATAACAATGTTTAAAGCTGATGAAAAAATATAAAATATATCAAAACTATAATTTCCTTTATTTTTTTAAAAATGTTTTAGATCTTGAAATATATAAAAAAAATAATTTTTATTAAATAATTAAATTTTTTATTAATTAAAAATTGTTTTTATTGTTGATTAATTCTGCAAAGAATGAATATATTATTTAAATAACTTTAAAAATATTTTAGGAGTTTTAAAATAATCAAAAAAAATAAAAATAAATTATCTACATATTTTAAGTAAAAGTTTTTAATATAAAAATAAAATATATATCATAACTTTAAATCGTATAATTTTCCCACAAATTGCATTCCCTTAAATATATATAAAAATTCACAGAATTCCTACTAATCACTTTTCCCCAGCAAACTTCTGCTCCAATTTGGTTTGCTAAAAAAAATATATATATGTATATATATAGCTTTGTGCAAGTTAATGGAATTTTAAAGCACGATAACAATAAAAGAAAAGAAAGGAGGTGTAGAGTGGTGTGGATGGAATGTATCATTTTAATATTCCATGAAAATAATTGTGGCCACAAACGCACAACGAGTAAAAACAACGTGAAATAAAAATGCAGCAATTAAAACAAAAGAAAATGGCAAATAATGAGCAGTGTGCTCTCCATCCTTTTTCTCGAAATAACAAAAAATAAAAAAAAAAAAATAAATAATAAGCAACGTCTGCTGCGTGCAAAAATCAAAAATATAATTTTCTATAATTAATGCACAGAAGAAACGCAACAAAAGGTGAAAAAAAAAACAAAACAAAGCAATTTTCTTTTGCAGAAGTGGAAGCGAAAAGTAGGAGGAGATTAGAAGGAGATGAGAGAAGACGGCGAGGAAATCAATTTCACTTTTCAATTAAATACCGAGGAAGATGATGATCATCGCGCACGATGATGATGCTAATGATGGCGATGAGCTGCTATTTTTTAATATCAAATGCAATAACAGCTGCTGCGAAAATTGCACTTTGCGGCGGCTGCGGAAGGGGGGAGAATATGGTGGGTAATAACAGTGAAGCCTCATTGGAGTGAACCAGAAAAATAAATAATAGAGAAATAAAAATAAAATAAAGTAAATTAATTAATTAAATTAAATAAATTATATAAATTAAATTATTAAAAATTAAATAAATTAAATAAACTTAAAAAATTAAATAAACTTAAATAAATTAAAAAAATAAATAAATAAAAAAAATTTTATAAATTTAATAAATTAAAAAATTAAATTAATTTAAAAATTAAATAAATTAAATTAACTAAATTAAGTTAAAAAAATTAAATAAATGTACTCAAAAAATTACCATATTTCAGATAAATATATTTTACTTAGTAAGAAAATAAATTTTAAAAAATCCAATTAATTATTAATGTTATTATTTGTATAACTAAGTACCTTATCTAGAGTACCCACTGTACCTAGCAATGCCGCCCCCTTCTCGCTCTGGCGCCTCTTGGCATAATCATAAATTTTGCTTGCGATAATTTCCCCGAGAAGGTTGAAAAATAAAATCAATAAGAATCTTTTAATGTGCAGCATATGAATGAATGCGAATGAAAAATCCCAAAAGCACACACAGACGCACATGTTTTAATCGAGAAAATAAATTTTATTTTACCGAGAAGCCACAGCAATAAAAAGAAAAAATACAAAAAAAAAATGGGAAAACAACTTTTGACTGCGTTAACAAACTTGTTTTTTTGCTCTGCTCTTGGCCACTGAAACAGCGATACTGCGGCACTCCACCCCGGCGGAATTCCTCCCCCTTGTTTGGTGTCAATGATAGCGTGAATGATACTTTGTGTACACACTTCATTTGCACAAGTGTCCGTTGCAGCAATGATCGTTGCAAGTGGCAAACGCGGCAAACGCGGCACACGCGGCGTATACGCAACGTTGCATATACGTTGGCCCTTTTCAGCGCCAGGCCATAAAGTGGGCCAATAAGCATCGTCATTATGCCAATCAACGAGTGAGTCCAATGGAGTCGAGTTGAGGCCTCCAATAATAATAATTATAATGATAATAATAATAATATAATGGCAATGCCAGGGATTTCTGTGTAAATAATCCCTGAAAAAAAAAAAAAATCCGAGAAAAGCTGAAAGGAATGGCCGAGGCACTTAAACACATACACGAAAATAATTATTACTGTGTGCAAGTGTATATATGTAAATCCTCAAAGGAAGAGAAGAAAGAAAACGAGTATTTTTAAGGATTTAAAGACCAATTAATTACAGGAAATTATATATTTAAATATTTAAGGGAAATTTTGAAATGAAATCTGCCGGGAAAAAAATCTTTAAAAAAAAATTTAAATGATAACTTTAGTTTATAACATAAATTTGATATTTAAAATATATTTTTAGCTATTAAATTTAGAAAATTATATGAAAATGCCTTTATAATATATATAATCTAACAAACCGAACAAAAATTCACTTTAAAAAGTAATTAAAATCATTAAATCATCATCATTGGTCAAGTTTATAAAATAAATAAAATAGTTAAAATATATTTATAGCTATTAAATTTATAAAATCATATACAAATTCCAAAAATCAGCAAAAATTCACTTTAAAAAGTACTCTTAGCTTTTTTTTTCCTTTTGATCCCCTCCAGAAATCCTCGCTTTATTTTCTCCCTCTCCCGTTTATAGCTTTCCTCGTAAAATTGATAAACAATAAATGAGGGAATGGGTAGGATATTGGGGGTTCACAGCTTGGCCAACACTTGTTCCACAAAAATTACGTAATGTCGCCATAACCTTCGCCTCATAAAGTATTTTAATGGGACACAAAACTCAACAAGAGAGAGAAGGTTCAGCTTTCGGCTACAGCTTCAGTTGGAAATCCAATGATAGTGTCGTCCTGGCATTTTATGCGTCCCCCCTTTCCGCCGGGTCTTTTTCTGGATTTTTTTTTTTTAAGGCTTCCCACAAAAATCGAGCGAAAAATTGCAAACGGAGTGTAAAATTTATGATAAAAACGTGCGACGCTGATAAGAATGTCCTGGACAAGCGGAAGTAGCTGCAGGAATGAAACGGAAGTAAAGGAGGTAGAGTGGGGGAGATGGTCAGAAGAGGGGAGGAGATGGTGGCCAGGAACTGGGAGGAGGTGGTGGTCAGGAACTGGGAGGAGTTGCTGGAAGCTACGACTAGGACTTGAGTGAGCGGAAAGGAAGCCTGGCAAATGAACGGAACACAAAGCAAACAAGCTGAAAGCGGGGCGTGGCACCTTGTTGCTCGTTAGGATAATAGTTGCACATTCCTTTAACCTCACCCAAGTCCGCCCCCCCTGCCATAGCCCTAGTCACTTCCCCTTTCTTCACCCTTTCTTCATCTCTTTCCCCCTAGTTTTTTCACGTTTTCCTCGCTTTTCCTGGATAGATTTACGCCTACACGCTATACGAAAGTGGTCACTAAAAAAAAAAAAAAAAAAACACTAATGCCCTTACAAACTGATATCTGCCATGATTTTTTAAAATATAAAACCAGGACATTCCAATAGAAAATAAAATAATAATAAAATATATGTAAGAATTCGAAGGAATATTAATTAATTGATTAAACATATATTATATAAAAATATATATTTTAAAAATATACATTATAAAAATATATATTTAAAAAAAAAGAATTAACAAAAAAAAATTATATAACTAAAATATTTAAAAAAATATATTAAAAAAATATATATATAAAAATATAAAAAAAATATATTATTAAAATATATTATTAAAAATTATTATTATGATTAAAAAAAATATATATATATAAAAACATTTTAAATATTGAAAAATATTTAAGGAAAAAATATGTATATAAAAAAAAAACAAAGAAAATATATTTAAATAATATTTTTTTTAAATGTTACAGAAAACAAAACCATATTAGAAAATATTAAAAATATTAAACAATATTAATAAATTTATTAAAGAATTAATATTATTTATGAATGAATGGAAAGAAACGCCTTTTTTCTTTGATATTAATATTAATATAATTATATAAATATATATAAAATATATATAAATATAATTAACAAGTCAACAGCATGTTTTTGCTTAAAGAAAATTCCATTTAAGCTTGCTTCTGTTGTTGGGACTGCGAAATCATTTTTCTTTTCACAAAGAAAGAGAGATAGAGAGAGAGAGGCTTCCGGAAAATTAACCTTCCAAAACAGAACAAAAGATAGGCAGAGGCAGGGGGAAGGGGCCAAGTCAAGTGGCAAGTGGAAAGTGGCAAGAGGTGGCAAGAGGTCGCGACTGTTCCTCCATGGTCAATGCAATCAGGCTCGTTGAAAGGCTAGTTTCCAGCCAGGATGTATGTCGATACTTTGTGCCCAAGGCTAGCAGCCGCACAGCAGCAGCATATTTCTGCCGCTGCCCCAAAAACCCCACTCAGCTCGCTGCATTGCTGTTTTTGATTAAAAGCATCCTGGTCTTTGAGACCCGCTTAAAACAGGAGGAGTCCTTCGCAGGACTAAGCCCACTCTCGCCTTCCGTGTGCATGTGTTTCTGTATGTGTGTGTGTGTGTGTGTCTAATTTGATTTGCATTCCAACAAATTTCGATCTCACACCGTTTTTGGCACAAAGTGCGCCGTAGCTCAACTCTCTTGGCCAAAAACGAAGCCAACC